AAAAACAAACAAATCCAATCTTTAACTCCTTCCTTTCAAACGTCTTTCAGTTGTTGCCCGTTTTTTTTAGCCTCCACATTTATTTTTCCAGTCCTTAACTGCCCTGAGCTCTGGTCCAACGGTGGACACTGCTGCTGAATGTCCATGACCCCGAGGTAGGAAGGTATTATCAACAGGGTAACATGTCGTCATTGGACCACACGGACACTCGTCATAAACAGAAAGGGGGGAAATAAACATTGAAAATGTTAACTGTTATCCTCTGATTTGGTGTTTACAGCACCCCCTGCAGGACAAGGAGATCATTTGTTTATCAAGTTTATTTACAATAATATATTAGGGATAAAAAGGCTAATTATGTGTCGTTACTGACCAAAACAATTGTCCAAAAAAGGAAAACAGGAAATAAAAGACATGAAACAGGAAATAGAATAAAATAAAATCAATAAAAACAGAACAGAGATGAAAAGAGAACTGGACTCAACACTGAGACTGAGACTGTCCTACAGAGGTGACACAGGTGGAAGTGATGAGACAGGTGAAAACCATCAGAGTAACTGGAACAGGAAGTGACAGGTGAAAACTTCAAAATAAAACCAAATGTGGAAAAAATGTTTTCTTACAACTTCTTATAAGTTCTGCTTTGATTCAATGATTTCTCTTTTATTTTTGTCTCAAAATTCTTAATAAATTTAAGGATTTTCTCCTTAAATTTCAAAATGTCGGCATTGATTTGAGAAATTAAAATTTTGGGGGAATTTTTGTTTTACTTTGGAATCCTAGCTGTGTACATACATGTATATGGGAGTTTTTAAAAGAAGAAAAATGATGAAAAGTAAAGAATCCAGATCTGAATCAGCCTCTCTGAGGGTGAGGAGGGTGAGGAGGGTGAGGAGGGTGAGGAGGGTGAGGAGGGTGAAGAGGGTGAGGAGGGTGAGGAGGGTGAGGAGCAGGAAAGGTGATCCGTGGGCGATGATTGTAATTTATTGTGTGGGAAACGTTAAGAGCTGCTCCAGGAATAGCGTCTGAAACGGAATCTTCCAACCTGACAGCAGGGGGCCCCGCTGTAAAACACCACAGATAAATCACAGCTGGGCAGAGTTATGGATGTCTACACCACAGATATGACATCACATTAAAGTGAGGCGGAGATCGCCAAGGTGTCGGTGAAGACATGAACGTGACTGACAGCCCTGAGATGATTGGTCTGCAGCAGGAGGAAGAGGGTGAAGTGGGAGAACGAGTGGGAGAACGAGTGGAGAATCTTTCCAGTTCCTCCAGGTGTGATGGTCCTCGACCCGAGACCCTGGTCTACGGTCCTGACCATGAATCAATGTTCTGGCTGAACTGAAGCTTCTGCAGAGCCACACATTGATGTACAGCGTGTGTGTGTTTGACTGTGAGGTCTGTGTTCTTTGGGTTCTAGCTCTCTCCTCTTCTTCTACACAGAGGGTTAGGGTTGGGGTTGACAACTGTCACCTTCATTGTCCTTAAGACTCGTCCTCTGTCGTCTTCTTAAAGAAAAGAAAATGGGCTAATGCTAAGAAGCTAACGTGACACATGAGGCTCGGGAGCCACAGGTTGCAGACCCCTGGTCTAGATTATCTAAGAGTAAATATTTTCCTCATTTCTCATTTCAGTTTAGTCTGGACCTGTTAGATGCTCCAGATGATCGCCTCCAGCTGACGAACTCACGTCACTGCAGCTCTGACGTCCTTAATGGAGACAGCTTTGGTGGGCGGAGCTTCCTGTATGAATGTCTGCTTTCTAACAACACTGACATTTAACGAAGTCTGTTAACATTTGAAAAGATAAATGTCAGTCTGCAGACTGTTTGTTCTCACTCTCCCAGCTCTGCACAAACAAACAGACGAACCGTCGATGTGTCAAGTCCAAGGCCCTGTTTAAGTGGAATTTAATTAGAGTTCTTAAGTTCATATTCCTAATATTTAAGTCCTTATTTTGTAGTTTTAAATATGTCTTTAAGGTAGATAGTCTTAAATCCATGTCCAAGTCAGTTTTTTTTGGTTTGTTCCAAACAGGTCCAAGTCCTTGTTACGTGAGAGAAATTTAAGTTGCGTCAGAGTTGATCTTCCTGGAGATCGAGTTTAAGTCTATGTCACTGAATGAATATTTGAGTTGACTTCAACTCAAGCACAGGTTTTATTTCAGTCCAAGTCGGTGAAAAAAGTCAGAGTCAAGTCAAGCCCACAGGGGATTCAAGTCCGAGTCCATGTCCCTGAAATCTTTACAGAACGAGTTTGAATCAAGTCACCTGCAAAATATTCAGATGAAGTTTGACACAAGTTTGTAAGGTTTTGAGGGCGAGTCATTTGTCACAACACTGGAGTCCTACAGCTCTGGCACAGAGTCAGGACTTCCTTTCACTGCACTTTGAAGAACCTTGAACTGCCTCTTCACCAGGATGAAGAGGAGCGCGAGTTTGATCAAAGAGAAAATGTCTCTGAAGTTTAACGAGTAGATGTGACGGAGACGGACTTGGACAGAGAGGACGTGTCAGAGGACACTGGAGGACAAAGGTCCCTGTGTGTCAGGCTGGAGACGTCTCAGCTTCAGTGGATCTGTCAGCAGCTGTCTGCAAACAGACACCGCGGAGGGACCACACAGGCTCCGCCCACTTTCTAAAACAGGCCAGAGGAGACTTGGAGGACGACTAGAATTTGGGACACGACACGGCAAACCTGCAGCTCTGTCCTGGATGAGCAGAGGAACCGAGTCATTAGTGAGGGGAACCGATGAGTGACTGCAGGAAGTGACATCATTTGTTTCCATTCACACCTTTTTAATGTTTGGAGGGGTCCCTGGGTGGGGGGGTCCTGGGGGGGGGGCACTGGATATAAAACACTAAATTATTTTTTAATTGACTTTGAATAATTATTTGTTTCAAAACTTTAAATTGACTTTGGTTCAGAAAAAAAATTTGTTTGTCTTTTACAACAATTTTTGGAGTTAGAAAATTGTGTAGAGCTTTTTTTTAAGCAAATTTCATTAGTTTTTTTTTTTACAGCCGGGACCAGAATTACTTCTAGATAAACTTTGATTAATTGTTTTTAGTTAATTTAACTTGTGTGTTAAATGTCAGTAATTTACTAATAAAATTACCGACATTAAATCTATGTTTTTTTATGTCAATTGAAAATTTTAAAAATTCAAAGACTTTCAGACACATTTCCAGTCAGGATACAGAAAATGACTTTTATTCTCACGTTAACGTCTTCACATACAAAACACATCCTTTCCAACAAAAGTTCAGTTCTGATCGGTACCTGTTGCTCAGACTGTTCCTCTAAATCAGAACCGTTTCTCCTGTTTCCACCTCATTCACTGACACAGAAAAAGTAACATCAACAGTTTTACTCTTTTTTTTTTCCATCCATCAGAGGAACTTTATCTTTACCTTCGTAGAACAAAGATCCCTTTTTAATTAGAATCAAAGGAAAAAGTGGTTCTTTATTTTCTTTATTTTTCTTCCCGCTCAAAACAAAGACAAAAAAAGGAAATGTGAGGAACCGATGAATTAGCTACAGTCAAAATAAAAGTACCAGGTCGTATTGTACAGGTGAAAACAACAGGGCAGTTACAATTATCTTTTTAATGTTAACTAACAAACAAACAAACAAACAAACAAGTGCAAAACAGAGATTTGTAAAAATAAACACAATAAAATATAAAGTCAACGCAGTTGATTTTGGCACAAAAAAAAAACAAGAGTTTCTTTTTAAAAGAGGAAACAGAGTTCATTTTTTGCCTCCTGAATTAAAAGAATGTCATAATAAAAAGTGATAAAAAGTTGCTCAAACATTTAAAGAATATTTTAATAAAAATGTTACCCTGCACATTTTTTGCTTCTTAGTGTTTCTTTAACATGGATAAATGACTGACAACCGACAAAAACAAACAAAGAAATATAAACTGCTAAGACACGAGCTGTCGTAGGTGAGAAACCTCGTCAGAATTCACCGTATCTGTATACGTATATATACACACATATATATATATATATTTATATAGTTTGTGTTTTTTTTTGAGTGGATCTGCATATTGTCTGTAGTTATACTCTAGATTACTGTAGTAGTACACAGAAGTTACACAGTGGTCTGTCTTTGCCCTGTACTGCATTCTGGAGTGTTTACTACTTCAATCCACGTAAAACTTCTCCGAGGATCAACCCAAGCGGGGGGGGGGTCGATCAGAATCTCAGCTGACATCAGTGGAGAGGTGGGGGGGGCATTGAGGGGGGGGGGTTTACAGTTCAGCCACTTTACGCCTTCATTGAAATGTTTAGCCAGTTTGCTAGCTTGAGCTAACACACACTGACGTAGCTAAAGGGCTATCCTTCAGCAAATAACCAGCAGCAGCTGATTCATCATGTGACCCCCCCCCCCCAGAATGACCAGAGTCTGGTTCCAGATCAGCTTCTTTCTCCAAAGGCACTTCCTTAAACTCCCACACAAACACCTGGTTACCATAGAAACAGAATGCATAGAGCAGATATTGATGTGTTTGGAGTTTGTTTTCCCTTCGTGGCTGGCAGTGAGTTTGATGTCAGTACTGACGGACGACTGTGGTTCAGCTGAATGGTGGAGTGCTCACACACACACACTCACACACACACACACACACACACACACACACACACACAGAGACTGTAGTTGTCAGTCATTGTCAAACTCATGCATAATTGTAGTGAAATGACAGACAGTATTTGCTACACAGGTGAATCCGACTTCATTAGTGTCCACAGAGCCGATGACATCATCACTGTTAGAACTGACTAACGGCTCACGGCCACTTTATTAGGTACACCTACAGACTGACCAGACTGGACCAAGTCTGGACTGGACCAGACTGGACTGGACCGGACTGGACTGGACCAGACTGGACTGGACCGGACTGGACTGGACTGGACCAGACTGGACTGGACCAGACTGGACTGGACCGGACTGGACTGGACCAGACTGGACTGGACCGGACCAGACTGGACTGGACCAGACTGGACTGGACTGGACCGGACCAGACTGGACTGGACTGGACCGGACCAGACTGGACTGGACCGGACGGTCAGGGTCCATTATTTATTTAAAATAAATATGAATGTTGTTGAAGTGGAGTCAACAAAAATTAAGGTTTAACTTTGAAGCTCAGTACCAGACACTAGGGTCAGAGGTCAGGGGTCAGGGGTCACAGGAAACTTCAGGAACCAAAGGTTCAGGAAAATGGTTCCTGGTACTGATGTGTCTAGTGACATGGAGCTGCCGTTACCTGATTGGCCAATGAACAGCTACTGAGGAGGTGTACCTAATGAAGTGACCAGTTCAACTAACCTAGTGACCTGACGGGTCAGAAATAAAGGAGGCACTGATCAGAACGAAGGAGTAAAAAAAAAAAAAAGAAAAGAAAAACAAGATAATACAACATAAAAGTCAATAATTTACACAGCTAACCCACTGTAGTGTACCTGTGTGTCCCCGTGGGACACAGTCCATTAGTGTTTGTACGTGGGAGTGAAGTGTCATGGCACACCGTCTCCTCTAGGGGCAGCCAAGCGGAGTCCACAGGACTTTACTCTGTTCCTGATCGACTATGGTCATGATCTGAGTGCAAATGTACGGGAGTGAGCCGCCCTGGACGATACCTGAGGGGGGGGGACACAGAGGTCAAAAGGTCAAGCCCTGAACCCGCCCCTGTGACAACGGCATGTTTTTAGTGACACTAATATTTGGACATTTTTGACAAACGTGGAGTACTAACTTTTAGCCACGCAGTAAGATTAAACTGAAGGAACGGTTTGAAGACGAACCTGTGAAGAATTTACTGAAGTCCACCTCCATCTTCTGTGCTCCTTCAAACTGCTCCTTGGAATGTTTTTGGGAAACTTTGTCCCGAAGGTAAATGGGATCTTTCTGCTCCCTGTGACCACGACAAAGACCATCATCATCATCATCATCATCATCATCATCATCATCATCTTCATCATCACATATATATCAGACAATAATCCCAATAATCCAGATTAGACCTACTTGATCTGTTTGGCGTTTTTGAAGCGGATGAAGACGACGATGGGGTAAATGTGGACGCTGTGGAGTCTCTCGATGGCGTGTGGAGCGATGTCCAGCAGACAGTGACAACCCTGAGGGTGGAAACAAAAACAATGAGTTTTCCCTCGTCCCGTTTCTACGGTCACCGAGGACGTGGACCTCAGCGTGGACCTTCTGCACCTTCTCGGTGATTTCCTTTATGGAGGCGACGGTGGTGACGTCAAAGTGTCCACTCCTGCGTTTGTAGTCGATGAAGAGACAGTCTTTAACGCCACGTTCAATGGCCTGCTGAGACGCCTTCATCACCTCTGGACACAGACCACATTGAGACAGGACAGAATTAGCTGCTGTGGCTAACACTTAGCTGTTGTCTAAGGTAACTTTTTTTCCTTAGTTACAGACGGTCAGTGGTTTCGGAGCAGCTCACCCAGTAAACTTTTGCAGAACTTTCCAGGAGATTCTTTGATCAGCATGTCCTTGATGGGTTCACTCAGCGGTCCCAGAACCAGAACAGGCCGCGGGAACGTGCACTCCACCTTCTGGACCCTCTGATAGGCCAAGCTGACACAGTCTGACAGGAGGACGACACGCGGCTCAACATACAGTATAAACATGTATGTCTGTATGTCTGTACATATGAGCCAGGTCTGAGTCTCTACCGTCAAAGAAGGGGATGGAGTCGGTGCTGACGGCGTCCAGAGCCAGCGTCTCTTTACTGTCCTTGGAGCTGCTGCGCTTGTGTTTCTGTTTCCTCCTGAAGAACGACCTGCGAGCAGCTGCAGACAGAGTTTTACTGGAGTCTTCCTTCATCTCTGTTACGCTGTGTCTGCGGTAAAACTCCTGGTCCATCCTAAAAAAAACACAAAAACACAAAAACAAAAACACCAAACGTTGACGTGATGTGACCAGAGCTGGACCAAAAAGGCTCGACTTCATACGACCTCTTCTCATAAGACTAATAAAAATCTTTCTTTTGTCTAAGATTATTATTATTTTTTTATATTTGATGTTTATTTTGGAATCCAGTCCCGTGGCCAACATGGACAGCTCAGTGGGCTACAGTCAGCTTACGGGCCACCAGTTGATGATTACTGCAGCCCAAATCATTCAACCATTAACTTCCAATGAAAAACCTCCCTCTGTGGCAGACGTCCTCTCTCTCTCTCTCTCTCTCTCTCTCTCTCTCCGTCAGCGCCCATTTTTTATTAATAGTCTATGATTGGAAAAAAAAACACCAAAAGAATCGGACCAGCAGCGACACCAGATCCTGCTGGTTTGACGGGAGCAGCTGGTTGTCCCAGCTGTTGGACACTGCAGATGAAGAACGTGTGTGTGTGTGTGTGTGTGTGTGTGTGTGTGTGAGAGACACCAGTCGTCCACTCACATGTACTTGCTGGGGATCTGCCCCCTCTGGATCTTCTGTGCGTTCTCGTCCAGCTGCCAGGCCATCCAGACGCCGAAGCTGCCGTTTGGTAAGGACTCGTCCACGAACAGGATGTCGTCCTTTTTAAACGTCAGGTCGCCGTCGGCCTCGCCCACGCGCTCGTAAAGTGCTCTGTTGGAGACGGGAGAAACAGAGACACAGACGCCGTGAAGTGGAAGTTGATGGAGGTGAGGACGGGGGTGAGGACGGGGGTGAGGACGGGGTGAG